ATAAACTAAAAGAGCATAAAAGAACTTACTTTTAAATAGACAGTTGAGTAAAATAACAAAACTATTAAAATATAAACTATAATGGATAAAAGATAAACTAAAAGAGCATAAAAGAACTTACTTTTAAATAGACAGTTGAGTAAAATAACAAAACTAATAAAATATAAACTATAATGGACAAAAGATAAACGAAAAGAGCATAAAAGAACTTACTTTTTAAGAGATTGTTGCGAAACAATCTTGCCCCCGCCTACTAATTCACATCGTACAGCTCTTACATTCGTCCCTCCGAAATCTAAAGCATAGAAAACTCCTACCTCATCGCCTGTCGGTATTTGCGATACACATGAGTCTAACATCCTTAGAGAGCATTCTTCCGGTACCCACTTCAAACCGTGCTTCTTATGCATCTCCAAACCCTGAACATAAACATATATATATATATATTATATATATATATATTTAAATGCATACATATACATATGCCTATGTATAAATATATGCATAAATATGTATATATACATGTGAATATACAGAGAGGAAAGCAGGGAACAATAAGAATATATAAATTAGAAAGACTGAATATATATATATATATATGTATGTATGTATATATATTGCCGTTTATATATATATATATATATTCTATATATATATCGATATGCACAACATACGAAGAAAAACGAGCAAGACGTTTATAGGGGCTCTGTAAAGCACTATTTAGAAGTAATAACATTGAGAAGAAATCCTAATTTTTTTGTTTTTTTTCTTGTTTTGTTTGTTAGTATTTATTACCCGCAACAGCTCATCTTTAAATGCAGTACGCAGCTCCTCCATCTTCTCCTTAGAGAGGCGCAGAGGCGCCAGAACTGTCTGTGAAAAGTGCAGAAAAATACAAAAAAATATAAAAAGAATATTTTTCGCGCTTTCTTTCTCTCTTATAATATCCCTAAGACCTTAGCTAAGGCGACAGCAATAGAGGCAGTGGAGAGAAACTCATCATCTGGGGGCTGAAGAAGCGAGGAGAAAAGGGGTTTAAAGCCTATTTATAATTAATTTAGAATTAGAATTCATAAATTTCCAAAAGAAAACGACAAAAGAGAGAAGAAAGATGCGTGGGGCATACCTCTGCACGCTGGGTTGCGGAAAGCTGCGTCATGATGAATAGAAAAAAGAAAAACTCAGGTGTCTACGACTTCAAGGGGTCTATTTGAAGGATAATACGAAGGAAGAAAGAAGAAAATAATGAAAAAGTATAGATTTCGTGCAAAATTATTGTTTATTGATGCTTTACTGTCTCAGTAATCTACTGCATACAGAGCCCATATGCAGGGGGCTGCCTGCAGCATACGATGGGCAATCGGAAAGATTAGGTTTCTGTGTTGAATTAATGAGTAATTTGTCTATTTTTTTCGATTAATATATTCTTAATAACTTTATTTAACAAAAGACAATATATCTCATCAACAGAAGACCCTAGAAATACCCTATTTAATCTGCTTTCCACCTCAGACACCTCAATGCTAGTTGCACTGATGGCGGCTGCTGCAAAACAGAAAGGCAGCCCTCACACCCCCAGCAGAAAGACAGGGAATTCAAAGGAAATTTTAAATAAAAAACAAGAATTTAAACATAGAAGAAGTATTTTTATTAATGTAAAGTGTTGTACAAGTTGCAGACAGAACAGAGTATACGCAGGGTAAGAAAGAAGGGTCTGAAGAACTACAAGAAGAATAGAAGCCCCGTAGACAAACGGGGAGAGGTATTTGAGGGAAAATTCACGAAAATAAATTTAAAAACAAATTTAAAATCAAAATAAATATAATTTAAAGTCTATTTAAAGACAATATCTTCATACAGAGCAGAATCTCTCTTGCTCTCTATCTACCCCAACCTATTAGCCTATCTTTCTTCTTTGCGAGTTTTTTGCAGCTAAGCTGCGCACTTCTTAATTTATATTTTAATACTATTCATTTAAATTTGTTTTTTCCGTTTATTTCTTCTTATTTTACGGCCAAGTTTGCACCCAGACAAATAGGTTATTAGGGAGCCTTCAAACTTATTTTCTTTGTTTAGCTTATCGCTATTCATTGCTGTTTTTGCCTCTCTACTTTTCTATCTATTTATATTTTTTTCTTTGTCCTTCTTCTCCACCCGTTATTACACTCATATATTTATTTGAATATGTTTGGCGGCGTTCATTGGGGATTTGTATTACGTCGCACAAACGTAAGTTATATATATATATATATATATATATATATATATTCCTATTTTGATTAATATATCTGCATGCATATATTATATAATATAAATATAATGTAGTGCGTATGTACGTATAATACAACCAAGCAAATGAAGATATGTCGCCATTTAAAAACATTTAGATAGGCAAACAAGCAATAAAAATATGTTACAACAAATATGCATTATTATTATTACTAGTATTATTATTACTATTATTATTATTACTATGACAATGTTTGCAGCTGAAGAAATAGTAATAAAATGCGTATATACCTTGTAATATATATATATATATATACATGTATATATTACATAAATATATATATACTATATACATATTATATATACATATATATATTCATTCAATACACATGCCGCTACTACCTCTAACTGTTACTGAAGAGAGATGCATTTATAATTATCATTATTATAATATTTATTTCTATTATTATTATTGCTAAGTACTAATCCGACTGACTGAAAAAATTATCTACTGTAATAATAATAAATATAATAATAAATCTTAGTGCTATTACTAGTCATTATTATTATTATTCTTATTATTATTATTATTGTTAATTATTATTATTGTTAATTATTATTATTATGCTGCTGGCTGTACAAGAAGAGGAAAACGAAATGAAAGACAAGCAGCCTCTGTGCAGACAAACAAATTAAATTAAATAATATAAATAATTCTTCTATTAATAATAATAATGCTGTCTTTAATATAATAAGTGCATTATTATTTATTTATTATTATTATTATTACTGTTATTATTATTATATGCAACAAATATATTTATTTTTTGTTGTCTAATAAAACTCTGCGTTATTGCCCTGCCTTATAATACAGCAAAGAAAAATAAGTAATAATAATTAATAAATAAATAACAAATAAATACTAATAAATAGATAAATAATAATGAATAAATAAAATAATAAATAGAAATAATAATAAATAAAAATAATGCTTCTAATAAAAAACCTCTACACCCCTGCTGACGGTAATGTGCTGCAGATACACCCGAATATGCATGCATTAGCGGGTGTCTGTATATAAAGATAAAGAAATAAATATTTATATAGACAACAAAGTCGTTCAAATATATTCAATTAAAACCAGAAATAAACTAAAGACACCCCGTAAATTCTAAACCCTAAACCCTAAACCCTAATTTTAGGGTTTAGGGTTTAGGGTTTAGCGGGGTTCTTTCTGTCCGCAGCGGTTTCCGCTATGCGCGACAGTAAACCCTAAACCCTAAACCCTAAACCCTAGGGGAGGGTTAAGGGTTTAGAGTTCTTATTCTTCTGCACCTATGTCATTGAGTTTAGCCTCCGCTTTATCTTTTAAAGAAGCTCTATTTACTGCAGCAGCAGAGCTGCCGATACACCTCAGAAGGTGAGAGACAGTTAATTCAACCACCTCTTCGCTGTATTTATATCGATCAGCGATGTCTATTAAATCTCCAGACGAATGCACTCGCGCACAAGGCCTGCAGCTGCAGCTGCCCCCTTCTACAACCTGCTGCTGCTGCTGCTGCTGCTGCTGCTCCTTCTGCTGTTGTTGCTGCTCCTTCTGCTGTTGCTGCTCCTTCTGCTGTTGCTGCTCCTTCTGCTGTTGCTGCTCCTTCTGCTGTTGCTGCTCCTGCTCCTGCTGCTGTTCCTGCTCCTGCTGCTCCTGCAGCAGCTGCAGCTGCTGCTCCTGCTGCAGCTGCTGCAGCTGCTGCAGCAGCAGCTGCTGCTCCTGTTGCTGCTGCTGCTGTAGGAGCAGGTGCCCGTACACCGCGTGCTGCTGCAACGCCTCCCGCTGCTGCTGAAGCTCTTCCCGCTGTTGCTGCAGCTCGTGTCGCTGCTGCAGCAGAAATGCAAGCCCTAGCAACTGCAGCAGCAGCAGCAGCAGCATACACCCATGCAACTGCGAGGGGAATAACACCCGCTTTGCTGCAACGAAACCCCGCTGAAGCTGCTCTTTTAAAAGAGCTCCAAGTGCTGTTACTGCAGCATCTACTGCTGCTGCAGTCTGTGCTGCTGCTGTTTTCGTTGCTGCTGCTGCTGCTGCTGCTGATTCTGCTGCAGCAAGGAAGCTCCCGCCGTCTCCTGAAGTCACAGACCCTGCAGTTGTTTCTCTCTCGAGAAGGTGGCTTCCTGGAACTCTGCTGATGATGCTGCTGTTGCTGCTGCTTCTGTTGCTGCTGCTTCTGTTGCTGCTGCTGCTGCTGCTCGGCGCGCAAGGCTGGGGGAAGCAACCGTGTAGAGAAGTGACGGGTACCCCAATGACTGCTCTTTGTTCAACCCGTCCGACTGCTCTTGCTGTTGCTGCTGCTGGTATTGCTGCTGCTGCTACTGGTGCTGCTGCTGTTGCTGCTGCGCTTGGTTGCTGCTGTTTGCTGTTCCCTCGCAGCTCCCGATCTTTCGTGCGGCGCCGACGCAGAAAGAATCCTCTAGGAGGGCCTGCAGCACAAGCAGCAGCAGCAGCAATAATAATAATAATAATAATAATAATAATAATACCTCCAGCAGCAACTGCAGCAGCAGCAACAACAACTGCAGCAACTGGGCTGAGGCGAGGCGCAGACGAAACAAGAGAGCATCAGAGAGCGGAAGCTAAGGCGACGCCTGAAAGAAGTCTGCGGTGTACATACACTCAAGGAGGTGTAGATATACACCTTAAGGTGTATATACACCTGAGGGTGTACATACATAAACCCCGAGGAGTACATACACCTCAAGGTGTACATGCATACATCCCGAGGGGTATGTACACCGCAGGCTTCCTTCAGGTGTATGTACACCTCGAGGTGTATATACACCCCAAGTTGTACATATGCCCCAAGGGGTATATACACCTCGAGGTGTATGTACACCTCCTTGAGGTGTATATACACCTCAAGCACTCACTAGTAAAAGCGAAGGAAGGAGGCTTCATTGTGCAGTTCTCAGAGTAAGACAGCGTGTATGAAGAGTCCGAAGGATTAAAAAATAAATAATAAATAATAATGCATTACTTCAACCTCTCCCTCTTACTCGTTCAATATACACCTCAGCCAACCGCCAGCCCCACGGGCGCAGCTGTCTGTACACCCGAAAAAAGAGAACAACTAAGGTAAAAGGAATAAAAGAATTTAAGAAGTAACACCAAAATTAAACAAACACTTTATTCTCTTCAGCAGAACCCCCCAGCTCAAACCGCAAACCGAAGCAGCAACAAAGACGCAGCTGCAGCAGCAGCTGCTGCTGCTGCGGCAGCAGCTGCAGCAGCTGCTGCAGCAGCAGCAAGAGCAGCAGATGTTGCTGCTGCTTAAGGTGTCCTGGCATCTCCTCGATCTTGAAATGTTTTTCTTGATTTTCTGAGTTTCTGCAAGTAACTAGTGTGTAGTGCTGCAGTGCTTAGCCGACAGCAGCAGCAGCAGCAGCAGCAGCAGCAGCTGCAGCAGCAGCAGCAGCAACAAACCTCGCAGTGCAGATTCACCCTCTCTTGTTTGTTTAGAACTCCACCTCCACTCTTGGGTTCCTCAGGCCCCTCACGAACAGCTGCAGCAGCAACAGAATCCTCCGCAGCATTGGCAGCAGCAGAAGCAGCAGCAGCAGCTGCAACAGCAGCAGCAGCAGCAGCAGCAATACACGTGGCATCCAGCGAAGGAGGGAGGAGCTCCTCGCACCAACTGTGCGTACAGCGCTATTTGCTGCGGCTGCAGCAACAGCAGCACCTGCAGCAATAGCAGCAAACAGCAGCAGCAGCAGCAACAAACAGCAGCAGCAGCAACGATGGATGACAGCGACAGCAGTTCGGAAGGGTCTCTCGGCTCTGCTGTTTCTGGGTCGGGCAGAAGCCCGGACAGCAGCAGCAGCAGCAGCAGGTCGCACAGCAGCAACAGCAACAGCAGCAGCAACAGAAACAGCAGCAGCAGCAGCAGCAGCAGGACCCTTGGAATGGTATTGACTGGCAGTGTAGAAGCAGCAGCAGCAGCTCTACAGAAACGCGTGTCTATTGAAGATGAAGCAGCAGAAGCAGTTACAGCTTCAGGTGTATCTGCAGCAGCACTCAATAACTTAGAGGAGAAGCAAATTGCTACTCTCAGCAATCTGTCTCAGAGACAAATGCTTACTGGTGCGTGCATCATGCTGCTGCTGCTGTTGCTGCTGCAGCTGTTGCTGCTGCTGGTGCAGATGCTTCTGAGCCTGCTGCTACTGCTGATGCTGCTGGGTTTGTTGCTGCTGTTGCCGCTGCTGCTGCTGTCGATGTGGTTGTCTTGCTGCCGTTGTTGCTGCTGCATCGGTCCTTTGCAGCTGTTGCTGCTGTTCTAGTTGCAGCAGCAGCAGCAGCTGCTGCTGCTGCTGCTGAATTTATGTGGTTTGGCTTGAAAGCTTCTACTTTCTACATACACCGCACAGCCGCAGCAGCTCAAACGAGTCAGACCTGCAGCACCAGCAGCAGCAGCAGCAGCAGCAGCAGCAGCACCAGCAGCAACAGCAGCAGCAGCAGCATTTGTTGTGTGTTGTGTTTATTTATTTGTAGTTGTAAATGGGCTTATTGAAGGAAGGAAGCTGGAGGATCTTCTCGCAGAGACTGCCCCTGACGTTGCGGCGAGAGTTGAACAGGTAACGAGGGTTTAGGGTTTAGGGTTTAGGGTTTGGGGTTTAGGGTTTAGGGTGAGGAGTCTGTGCATCGGCCTCATTGATTTCTGCGCTCGTCCAAACCCTAAACCCTTTTCGTTTGCTGCTGCTGTTTGGTGCTGCAGGTTGCAGCTGAACAAGCAGCAGCAGATACTGTCGAGACCGACGCAGAAACAGCAGCAGCAGCAGCTGCTGCTGCTGCTGCTGCAGCAGCAGCAAAAGAAGCGAGCGATGAAGACATAACTCCTGAACAGCTTATTAACATTGCAAAGTTTGTTCCTCTCCGACTCACTTATGAAGGTACGAAAACCCTAAACCCTAAACCCTAGACCCTCTCAAACCCTAAACCCTTGTGGGGTTATTGTGTGGTTTCTGTTCCTTTTTTCTCGTTTTGAGGTCTATCTCGGCATTTCCCCTGGATTTCCATCTTAGGGTTTAGGGTTTAGGGTTTAGGGTTTAGGGTATAGGAATGCTAGGGTTTAGTAACAAGCTCGGGGTTTTTGTGTATTCTAGGGCGGAGCTATTTGCGTGATATTTGCGTATAAGAGCTAGGGTTTCTGTTTTAGGGTAAAGGGTTTAGGGTTTAGGGTTTCAGTTGTCGGAGTGAGGGCATCAGTTATAGGGTATATATATTAGGGTTTGTGGTTTGTGGTTTGTGGTTTGTGGTTTAGAGAGAAGGTTTTTGCGTTTATTAGAAGGGGCCTTGGAGGTCTCAGAATATGTAGACAAAATTGATGTTCTCTGCACAAACAAAGCACGAAAAATAGTTAAAGAAATTCGACATCTCTGCGCTGTATTGGTTGGGCTCCTCATTGCTAACGACTTCGGTTAGCTGCTTCTTCCTGCTGCTGCTGATGTTGCTGCTGCTGCTGCTGTTGCTGCTGCTGCTGCTGTTGCTGCTGATGTTGCTGCTGCTGCTGTTGGTGTAGCTGCTGCTGCTGCTGCTTGCGCGTTCGTTGTGTATGTGCATAAACCCTAAACCCTAAACCCTTGTAAATAGACTAAAACAGATTAGTAGAATACAGCAAGCGCAGGCGAAGCTCTTATGAAATGAATATTTGTTTATATTTAGGGTTTTAGGGTTTAGGGTTTAGGGTTTGGAAGGTCTTATGAAATGATTATTTGTTTATATTTAGGGTTTTAGGGTTTAGGGTTTTCGGAGGTCTTATGAAATGATTATTTGTTTATATTTGTTTGTATGTATTTGTTTGTTGTTTTGATAAATGCTGCAGAGGCAGGCGAACGGCTTCTTCATCAGCTTTCTTTTTCAGAGCAGAGTTTATTTTATTGCTCAGTGTTTGAGATTGGTAGGCGGTATAAAATATTAAACCCTGAAAGACTGAGATCAGCATACGGCAAGCTTATTTACTTCTTGATGGATAGTAATAAGCCGGAAATACAGCAATTGCTGCAGTTTCAACTCGTTACACCAGGTAATTATCACCCCCAAACCCTAAACCCTAAACCCTAAACCCTAAGCTCAGTTACTTCGCAGTGGGTGGCAATGCGCCCTAGGGCAACTTTAAACCCTACAATGAGATCATCGAAAAGGATAAACCCTAAACCCTAAACCCTAGTTGCAAACCCTAAACCCTTTGTATCAATGCTGATTGATCGTAGCCTTTACCTTTAATGTATATCCCTTAACCCTAATCCTACGGCTGACGCATCGCTGTAAACCCTAAACCCTAAACCCTCGCTCTACATTTTCGCCCTACGTTTTGTTTAAACCCTAAACCCTAAGCCTGAGGGTTTAAACCCTAAATATGCAGACACCTAGAAGGCCTTGCTTGCACTGGGATGGGGAAATGCGGAGCCTTTTAGGGTTTAGGGTTTAGGGTTTAGGGTTTAGGGTTTAGGGGTTGTTTGCAGTACACACGGTTTATTCGCTTTTGGCTTCAAAGAAGAACGGCTTGGCGCTGCTGAAGGATCCGCTCGTTAAGATTGCAACGCGAGGTAAACCCTAAACCCTCAAACCCTAAACCCTAGCCTTCAGGAGCCCTATGCTTTCAGAGCGTGCTTCAAACCCTAAACCCGCTGTAGCTGCTGCTGATTGTTAAACCCTGTTATTATTTCCTTCAGAGGTTTCTGCTTCTGTGGGGGTTTTCGTCGAGTTCGGGGTCTAGGGTTTAGGGTTTAGGGTTTAGTGTTTAGGGTTTGTGGTTTGTCAGAGATAATGCCGGAGAACAAGTCGCGAGCGCAAATAGACAGAGAGATAAGAGAAAAAGAAGCAGCAGTCAAAGCCTTAACTCGTAAATATGCTTCCAGCCAAACCCCCAAACAAAAGGCTCTCTTCGGACTTAGTAAGGGTTTAGGGTTTAGGGTTTAGGGTTTAGGGGTTGGTGAGGTGTTGGGGATATGAAGGCCTCGATTCAGTGTGATGTTGCTGCTGCTTGTTGCTGTTCCTGTTTTGCTGTTGCTTGGGCGTTGCTGCTGCTGCTGCTGCCGCTCTTCTTGCTGCTGCCGTAGCTGTTTTTATGTTTTTTGCGTTTGTGTTTGTGCTGCACTTTAATATGCTCTGCATCTCCTGCTGCATTTATTCTGAGCTTCCCGCTCCTTCTGCTGCTGCTGCTGCTGCTGCTGCTGCTGCTGCTTCAGGGTTTAATTTGTTTGCGAAGGGATCTCAAGGAGAGACCTTCGAAGGGCCCTCTGATGTTTTGTCTGCTGAAGAAGTGCAGCAATGTTTATATTCTTTGGGCGACAGAAATACATTTCTACGATATAATCAAAAACCCTGCCAGCAAATGATACAGTCAGCAATGCACTCCTGCTGCTGCTGCTGGTGCTGCTGCTGCTACAGATGCTTCTGCTGCTGCTGCTAGATGTTGGTGCTGTTGCTGCTGCTGCTACCGATGCTGGTGCTGTTGCTGCTACAGATGCTGCTGCTGCTGTTTCTGCTACAGATGCTGCTGCTGCTGTTTCTGCTACAGATGCTGCTGCTGTTGCTATAGATGCTGCTGCTGCTATAGATGCTGCTGTTGTTGGTGCTGCTGATATTTCTGCTGCCGTTGGCGCTCCAAGTGCATGCAATAAATATGCTTAAATGACCAAATAAAATATGATAAACAATTAATTAATTTAATTAATTAATTTAATTTAATTTATTTTATTTTATTTATTTTATGCAGGTACTTACAGCAGAACTTCAGGCCTGATGAAGCTGAAGACGAATTCTCGCTTGCAATTTGTTACGGGGCAAACGGAGCGAGGCTTGCACATTCTCACAGGTATATTAAATTATATAATAAATATATTTAATATTTTATTATATTTCTTTTAATTAGTTAATAAATATATATAATATTTTTTATTATATTTCTTTTAATTAGTTAATAAATATATATAGTCTATTTTATTATGTTTCTTTTAGTTATTTTATATATTATTTTATCTTTCTTTTAATTATCTAATAAATATTATTTATTTTATATTTTATTTCTTTTAAATACTTAATAAATATAATTTACTTTATATTATTTGCTTTGTTTATTGATATTAAGGATGGTGGTAATGTTGCTGAGGGTGTTTGTATGCTTTCTTTGTTTTTCTTTCTGCTTGTCTTTATCTTTATCGTTTGTTTTTTATTATTTATTTTTATTGTTGTTAACGGTATTATTTATTAATATTATTATTAATATTATTATTAATATTAACATTATTATTAATATTGCTGTTTTGTCTGTTAATTCTTGTTTTGTTTTTTCTAATTCTTTTTTATTGGGCATACAATAGTGATGATAATAATATAATAAAATAATAATGATAATAATAATAATATTATTATTATTAATATAATAATAAAAGTAATATAATAATAATAATAGTTATTATTATTACAAATGTAATGTTTTTTTATTGTTTATTCTTATTATTTATTTAATTTTATTTTGTTTTATTTTGCTAGTTGGTGCTGTTTGTCTAACAGCATTATTCGTTGGTTTTGTTTATAGCGGCCTCTTCTCGTCATAATAACATCATCAATACATTTATTTTATTTATTTATTATTAATTATTATTATTGCTTGTTGTGTTGTTATTAACAATCAATCACTTAGTTTGCATATGCATGCATGCGTGCATGCATTGAGGTGTACGTACACCTGATTTGTTGCGTTTGCTGCTGCAGCCGACAATATTTATACGTCTTGCAATCTTTAACCCTTTGGAATGAAATTCTTTCAGAGATATTTCTTCTCTGGTCTCTAGCAGAAGCAGATTTGCTGCAATCAAACAACACCTACAGGCTTCGAGACACAGGGCAAGGCCTCAACAGGTAAAGTTTAGGGTTTAGTAGGGTTTAGGGTTTAGTAGGGTTTAGGGTTTATTAGAGCTTAGTTAGGGTTTGGAGTTTAGGGTCTAGCTTTTAGGGTTCAGGGGTTTTAGGATTTTAGGGTTTAGGGTTTAGGGTTTAGGGTTCAGGGGTTTTAGGGTTTAGGGTTTAGGGTTTAGGGTTTGTGTGAAGGGTTCAAGATGCTCCTCGGGTGTCTCGCGCAATTCGCATAATAGTGGAGAAGGTGCAGAGGCAAACGCAAGGATGGATTGGTTCTTCTGTTGTTCATTTGGGTGATAACAACGTGCCTAACGCCCTCATGTTCATTGACAAATATGTGCAAGTAAACCTAGGGTTTAGGGTTTAGGGTTTAGGGTTTAGGGTTTAGGGTTTGGGGTGAGGGAAGCATGTCTTGGTCTTTTTTTCGTGTTTTGAGGCTTTGTTGCGGCTTTGCTTTTTTCATTTGTTTAAATTACCATTTGTTTTATTTCTTCTTTGTTTTTATGTTTTTATTTTATCTGCTTTAGCTCTTTTAATGCTTGCATCTTACTTGTTTTACCTGTTCATATATTTTTTATTTGCTTTTACATACATATTTTCTCTTGTCTATTTGTTTTGCTGTGTTTACTTATTTGTACACTTCAGTTTGTTTAATTTGCCTTATTTATTTATTATCGCATTCAATTTTAACTATTTTATTTTATTTATTTTATTTTATTTTGATTGCAGGTCCCGCGCATTTTGTCTCCTGTCGTCTCTTGTTTAGAAAAACTGCCTGAGTTAAACTCAGACCCTTCAATTAATAAATACTTTACTTATGCCTTTGGTGGAGTAGACAGATTGAGGTATTTATAACAATAAATATAATAATAATTAATTTCAATAAATAATGAAAATAAATAATAAAAATATATTAGTATGATCCTTGTGATGTCTATTAATCAATTCTTTTCTCTTGTCTTTGTTGGTTTATTGAGTAGTATTATAATTATTAGTTTGTTGTCTTGCAAAAGATCTAATAGTATAAATACATAGTGAGACAAGCCTAAAATAATTAATGAATGGATGAGTTGATTAATTAATTGATTAATTGAATTGTGTCGTGTTATGAAATGCAGAAAGATTATATTAACAGATTTCTTTCGTCACGCCTTCGATGGGTCCGGCGCAGATAATTTCTTCGATGCAGGCAGCTGTATAGACGGCCGGCTGACTTCTGCATGGAATTGGTGTTCTAAGATTGAACAAAAACCTTACTTCAAAGTCTTCTTACTCGCAGGATTCACAGGGTTTGACGGCAAAATATAAAAATACGCAAACAACACCAATGCAACAACAACAACAGCAGCAGCAGCAGCAGTGGCAGCAGCAGCAGAAGCAACAGATGTTGTTATTGCAAGAGCTGCCGCCATAGCAGCAGCAGCAGCAGCAGCAGAAGCAGGATGAAGGCTTTTCCAGTCGAAACAATTGCCGTGTTGCTGACGAATGCAAAACCCTAACGTAACCCTACCAGCTTCAGCGGTAGGCTCAAGCCTAGGGTTTAGGGTTTATGGTTTAGGGTTTATTACGTCTAACAGTGTGCTGCCAGTCGTTTCACGGCTTAATGGAGTTTTCCCAGAGTGCGCCCTGAACTTAGGGTTTGGGGTTTCAGTGTTTAGGGTTTAGGGTTTAGGGTTAGGAACCCTAAACAAACCAATAAAACCCTTTAATTCACCGACACAGAAATTGTTTACGCGAATATAACAACACGAAAAACAAACAGGAAGCGCGAGGAAAATCAACAAAAGTATTTAAAAAGTTCACTTCAACAACAGTGCTGCAGTAGTATTCAATAAATGCAATTAAATGTCTCAAACTTGCTGAAACATTTAGAACATTGCAGTGCGTTTAACTTAAAGGCTTTGAAGGATTCAATAAAGTGCAACAAATTAGCACAGAGTTATTTGAAATATTCAATAATGTGCAACCAATTAACCCGAGGTTACGTGAGATACTCAGAAAACTGCAGCTAATTGGGTAAGCACTATTTGAAATATTCGCTAGACTGCAACGAATTAATTTAAAGATATTTGAAATATTCGATAAACTGCAACGACTTAGCTCAAAGTTATTTGAAATGTTCAATAGAGTGCAACGACGTAACTAAAGGAAATTGAAAAATCCGATGAATTGCAAGGAATTAACTCCAAGTTGTTTGAAATATTCAATAAAATGCGATTTTTTGCAGCTTCAATGGAAGCCAGATCTTCGCCTGCCATCTGAGGGGCGGAATATTTGAAAAGTAACAAAATAATAAATTGTGAAATGCCGGAATGCGTCGATATTTTTGAATTTGTTGTTGGGGTGTACGTACAGCTGAGCGTTGAATTTGGCTCTGCCTCGGTGTCAGTGTTTCCGTTCAGAGGAAACTAGAATAATTCAATGTCATTGAATAGGCTTAAAAGAGCAAATAAATTCAAAAAAACGAAAACCCAAACAAACAAATAACGAACCATAATCTTAATTAATCAATCTTTTTGCATTAATACCACCATATTATACTTTTTCTTGCAATTTCCACTCCCTCACATTTCGAAAAGGTTTTCTTTGTTCGTTGTCTACCTACGCAAACCATCATTCACTATTACGTACTAATCGTTATAAAGGTTTAATATATTATTTGTTCATTGGTTCAATTCAAATTGTTTGTGAAGAGATACACAGGGAGATATAATTCCGTTGCCTTTTTTTGCTGTTCATGACATACGCACGTAAACTCTGAAGGGCTCTTCAGGCTCACACAGAAAGAGAGAGATCAAGAACCAGCAGAAATTTGAGGTGTACGTACACCTCAACACCTGCCTATACACCACAACAAGGAAATCGCGTAATTCAAATTGTCCTCACTTCGTTCCTCTCTCTTGCCTCTTTCCTCTCCGCGTTTGTTTCGCCTCTCCCTTCGAGCACAGTCTTCAATGAAGAACAATAATATAAGTACGTAAGTACAAATAATACACATTGTGTATTATGCAGTATATCTACACAGAGATATACATAAATATATATAAAGAAATATATGAACCCACAGAGCGGCGCAGCAGCGGCCGTCGCACTGCTGCTGCTGCTGCTGCTGCTGCTGCTTGTCTTACTACAGATGCAGCTGCGGTTGCCATTCGTTATTGTTTCTGCTGCTCCCTTTGCTGCTTCTGCTGCTGCTGCTGCTCCCTTTGCTGCTGCTGCTGCTGTTCCCTTTGCTGCTGCTGCTGCCGCTATCGTTGCTGCAGTGCAACAGGAGCAGCTGCTGGCGTTTCTCTTGCAATCCTCAGGAGCGCGTTCGCTTATTTGCTTCTGCTGATGCTTCTGTCGTCCTTGATACTGCTACCAGTGCTGCTAATTTCGCTGCGGCTGCTACTGCTGCTGCTGCTGCTGCTGCTGGCGTTAGAGTTTAGGACAGATATGATTAGTTGCTGGAGTCTCCCATTGCATGCGCTCGCCATTCTTCGGAGTCGTTACCTGCAGCAGTTCCGAGTAGAATTTGCGCTTTATCGTTTTTAACACCCCAGTGCATTGGAGGCTGCAAATATTTGCTGAGAGAAGCACTAGTGGGTGCAGCAGATGCATGCAAGAAAGAAGAGGCCTGCGCTGATTGCTTTCCTCCTTGTGCTCTCTTCTTGCCGAGAGCGTAGACAAACAGAACAAGAAAAAGCGCAAACCCTAAGCCACCCATAACTCGAACCAAAGGAGAAGAAGGAAAAAATGAAGAACGGCTTCCATCCCCGCCGAACCCCCAACTTGTCGATGCTTCAGATACACCTTGTTTCTGCTGTACAGACACCTCAACTGCATTTCCGCCAGCAGATGAGGCCTCTGTTTTCTCTTCTCTCTCC